CCACATGGTGATTCGGGCCCCAGAACTCCTCCTGTCCCGTGACTGTGCCCTCTCCCATTCTGTGGGCCAATGGGTAAGGAGTGCATAGAGGAGTGCTGCAGGGTGCTAGCCCTGCATGGGAGTGGTGCACTTCACTTGTGTCCACATTGCATTGGTCAGATCTCAGTCACATGGCTGTACCAAACTGCAAGGGTACCTAACAGGGGGTGGGTGGGTGGGGGGACTGGAAAATGTCATTCCTGAGAGGGTGGCCAATCAATGACAGTTTTTGCTACTCTAGATGGTTTGTTTATTAAGGCACCTAAAATACATTGTTGTATGGTCGTTGCAACCTTGGATGAAATGGCTGGGCTCACAGGCAGCAATTACAGGATGCTTCCAGGGTGGGATTGTATTCTAAACAGAAATGTTCTATCTTTGAAAAAATATACATACCCTTCTGAAGTTCCCCCTGACAATGCCTCCTTGCAATTCATATTATTCAACTATGCTTGATTTTTAAGATACTTCAGGGATAAATGTCAACTTTGGGGATTTTATTAATAGTATTATTTTTTAATGAGTCTTTTGAAGTCCCTTTCATTATAAACAGCCTGTTTTCCCCAGAGATAATAACTTACAGTGCAAAATATTTGCATTTCACTTGAAACAAAACCAAGGGTTTGAATGTTTTAAATATAAGCAAATCTAATTCTCTTGCGTCTAGAGAAACTGTATAATGAACCATATGTTTGTGACTTAAGCAGACAGATGTAGACGATTTCTTTCTCTATCCTTTTATTTTTTCTTAAAAAATGCTGGCAGAGCTCAAAATTGGCAGCAAGCAGCATATATCTCCACCCAGCCAACCAAACCACTGGAGTTGGAGTTGAAATGGGGGAGGTCTCTTAGGGTGCATGCAAAATTGGAGCTTTTCTTGGTTTTGGCTTCTACTTGGAAGCCCAGGGTCCACAGCTCACCCAGCCCTGTTTTTCGATGCCTTCAACCTCAGCAATTAGACATTTTGTCTTAGGTGACTGACTTTGTCTGAAAAGTTAGGTTGGTTTTTGTGGTTGACTTTTGGGTTCATCTGGATATGGTTCTATGTCTCTGGGTTCTGCAACGAGATGGCATCCTAGATGCTGACAGAAAGCTTCTGAGCTGCCATCCCACTGCCAGAATGGGCCTTCCTCTGGTGGTGGCCATCTGGCTTTTTCCTCTTACTCCTCCCATAGTCCTGGAGTCACTTTGACCTCTGGTTCGGGTTACTGATATGGCCTTAACTAGTCATTTTACCTTCAGTCTTAAAAATATTTTCATTGATTTTTAGAGAGGAAGGGAGAGAGAGAGCGATAGAAACATCAGTGATGATAGAGAATCTTTGATTGGCTGCCTCCTGCATGCCCATTATTGGGGACCGAGCCCAAAACCTGGGCATGTGGCCTTGACTGATATTGAACCCTAACCCTTCAGTCCACAGGCCAACACTCTATACACTGAGCCAAACCAGCTAGGGCTTACCTATAGTCTTTTTAATTTTTATTTTAATTTAAAAATTTTTTTAATTTAAAAATTTTTTTAATTTTAATTTTATTGATTTTTTACAGAGAGGAAGAGAGAGGGATAGAGAGTTAGAAACATCGATGAGAGAGAATCATTAATCAACTGCCTCTTGCACACCCCCTACTGGGGATGTGCCCGCAACTAAGGCACATACCCTTGACTGGAATCAAACTCAGGACCTTTCAGTCCGCAGGCTGACACTCTATCCACTGAGCCAAACCGGTTTCGGCTACCTATAGTCTTTTCTCCTCCAATCTCCTCACTGAAGTGTTGTTTCTGTAACTCAAATCTGATTATTTCAGTGTCTTAATATTTATCTTTGGCTCCCTATTTTCTAGATACGGTCTACTAGTAAACCCTTTAACCTGGTGCACCTGGGCCTTTGTAATCCGGGACCCGCTTTCTGTTTGGATCATCTTGAGGCAATTCCACTAACATCCTCTCTGCACTGGTAGCCTAGTCTTTCTATGTGTAGCCCAACCAAGCTACTTTCAGGAGATGGCTATTTTCTCTTATATATTGGGTGTCTTTGCAAATGCTGTTCCTTTTTTCTTGCTTTGCCATGCATGTTCTATAGCATTGCTTTTCAAACTTGACTGTGCTTCGAATCACTCAAAGGGCTTGTTAAATCACAGCTTCCTGGGCCCCACTCCCAGAGCCACACCAGCCACTGTGCTTTTAAACAGAGGAATCAATCATTTTCTTCTGTCCATTCCTGATTCCTGCTGTCAGAATAGACCCAAGAGACCTGCTAAGAGGCCACCGATGCCACTCAGGAATGAGGTTATGTGGGAGACGAAGTAGAGTGAGCAGTGGTCCTGGAATCTGTGAAAGAACAAACATGGCTGACATTAACAACAGCGACTGAATATGGCATCTTCCGTTCCTGGAGGGAAGGAAGGAATTCCATGGGAGTAGTAGTTTCCATGTCAGAACCAGAGAACACAGCAGTCAACAGCTAGCATGCAGATATTGGCATCTTCATTCCCAGGATAGCAGTCGCACAGAGCTTTCTCCCTGTGTCCCACCAGCTTTGAGAACCATCTCTGCTTGCTCAAATTGTTCATTCATAGATGGTCATTCTTGTCTTGCCGGTCCATGCACAGCTTTTTAGATTCCTTTACTCCAACTATTTCTGTCAGTGTTGACCTAGAGGGCAGAGCTCCTGTGAGCTCTACACATTACCATCTGGCCAGGAACATAGTCCAGCACATGTTGGCTACCTCCACCCTGGGATCTGCCCCCCGAACCCGCTCAGACACCTGGGCTTCTTCAGAAAGTGCTACCTGGAGCATTTGATTTTGGTTCTGGAATCTGGTTGGAGCATTTTGGAAAGTTGTGTGGTCCATCAGGTGCTCAGACTGACGTGATCTTCCTTGCTTTCTTTCTTTATATTCTTTGTTTCTTACTAGAATGAATAGGGGGTTTCTGAAAACAATTCAGATGGAAGCAACCCAATGAAAAAAGAAAGCTCAATATGCCAGAGCCTGGCTTTGAACAACAGATGGAAAAGAGGGCAGTTGCCCTGGCTGATGTGGTTGATTAAGCATTGTACCATACACTGAGAGGTTACTGGTTCAGTTCCTGGTCAGGGCACATGTCCAGGTTGCAGGCTCAGTCCAGATGGGGGGCAGCTAATCAGTGTTTCCCTCTCTCCTCCATGTTTCACCCCCCCCCTCCTTCTCCCTTCCTCTTGCTCTAAAATCAATAACATTTTTAAAGAGGCCAGTCATTTGCTGACTGCAGGGGTTCATTGAGGAGTATGTGCTTTTTTTCAAGTCTTTTAACCCTCATTTCCTCATCTGAGAAAAGGATAATGACACCTGCTTTTTCTACCTCTCAAATGTTTTGAGATGCTATATGAGATAGGGATGTGTGAAATGCTTTGCAAATTTCAAAGAACTCTGAATTTGCAGGCGTCTTCAAACTATCCTGCCCGCCAGGTTTTTTGGGCAGTGAGCGTAGCCGAGGTGTTACAGTAGGAATTAGTAGTTCATATAGTCCGGCCCTCCAGCTCTCTGAGGGGCCGTGATCTGGCCCCCACTTTAAAAAGTTTGAGGACCCCTGATTTAGGGTATTGACTTAACAGATAGTGGCTTCCAGGGCATTTAAAAATGGTTTGATTTACATTTAGTAGAAACTCGCCTAGTATGAAAACTTCTGACAGCTCAAAGTTTTATAGTCTCCTGTCTTCTCAGAATGTCGTCAGAGGAGAGCCAGGTGTTTCTGGGAAGAATTACTTACTGGAATGGTGTGTGTGTGTGTGTGTGTGTGTGTGTGTGTGTGTGTGTGTCGGAGAAAGGAGGTGGAGATGCTCACCTGCCTTTTCTAGGGATAGTGAATACAGTGCCTTCCTAAGTATTAACTCTTCAATAGTGTGTTCATACGTGGCAACCTGGTAGCTTATTAGCAATACAACTTTTTTTTCCCTAGTCTCTTTTGTCCTAAAGCACATGTGTCAAACACAAGGCCCGCGGGCCAAATCCGTCCCGCCAGGCCTTGCAATGTGGCCCGCACCGCGCTGTCATCACTGCACTCCACTGCGTTTCCATCACAATGACAGTTTATGACTGTTCAGTAAACCATTCGGCCCGCGATTTAGGCTGGATTTTAGATTTTGGCCCCTTCTCTGATTGAGTTCGACACCCCTATCCTAAAGGCGTACCCTCCTGTGTTCACTCACTTCTTGGTTTCATGAAGGTATCCCTTTGTGGTAGCACTGTAGCCTTAGAGTAGATGGGAGGGGTAGAGCAAAGCCCTGGGCACCTCCTCCCAGAATCACCACTTTAGCTTCTTTCCCCACACCATACCCAAGCTCTGTTTTCTCCTGCACAGTTCCTCTGGTTCTCTGTATCCTTAAAACCTCAACTTTGGCTTGAACTCCCCCTAGTGGCATGTCTGATGCACCCCTGTTACTCTATTTCTTGTGGTACCACAGCTTTCTTTTCTGTTCAGCTCTATCACTAAATATGAATCCTAGTTCACAAATGCCGGATGAGAGCTTGCGTGATCCTTACTTGCCACTTAAGTAGGGCATGGGAGGTGGGATTTGAATTGGAACTTTTGATTCTCAGATTTATACAATGGGAATGCCTCAGACAAAAGGATTATATGGTTATAGCTTTTCTAAAGATTTTCTTTCTGTGTTTTAAAAAGAATTGGTTATTTTACTATCTACTCAGCTATCTGAAAAGATCAAAACGTGGCAAATAATCTTTTTACCTTCTTTCATTGCATTGAAAACACTTTAATCACTCACCAAGTGTTCAGTATTTCACTATAAAAATATAAAACATCATGTCTGCCCTTCAGAAGTTTACATCCTAGTTACACAGTGTTTAAATTATTCCCTCGAGGAAAAAACTGAGTATCATGCATAACTTTTATTGGTGTTTAATATATATACTTCATCTCACTGAAGAGAGATGCTCTGAGCATTTGCTTATTTATTTTTCAAGTCCTTTTCAGTGGAGAGAGAACCACAAGATAACAGCAATTACCCGGACGAACCGTGGAGGATAACAGAAGAGCAGCGGGAGTACTATGTCAATCAGTTCAGATCCCTCCAGCCAGACCCAAGTTCCTTCATTTCAGGTAATGAAGTCTGACAGGTGAGAATGTGGGTTCTAGGTCACTGTCTCCTATAAATAACAGTACACGTCTTGAGACATAGTTTGCACAAAATGAGTATGACAGCCTTCTGTGACTTCAAGTTTATTTCCTTCTAAGATCAAATTTCTTATTAGCTATAAACCATGCAGAAAAACACTTGGCAATGACATTTAGAAAATGATGTTTCCGTTTCAAAGGGTTAACTCAGAGTTTGGTCCGGACCTTGTGATTTATTAGCTGGAGCGGTTTTTGAAATGATAGAGTATGGCTCGAAGGCAACATCTTTAATTGCTAACTCATTATATTAGAGTTAGAGAAAGATGGAGTATAACCTCCTACAGCCAGCATTAGAGTCTCCTTATGTTATATACGCCTCAAAAGTTCAAATTCATGCTCGTTTTCTTTGGCTCAAGACTTCCTCCTCTGGTTTTTCTGAGAGAAATTAAAATATGGGAGGAAAATTGGCCAGCATTTTTATGTCCACATGTCAGTTCTTTTGGGCTGTCTTCAGAAATATGTATTCCTGTTGCATACTCATGTAAAATTCAAGCTGAGAGGAGTCGATTTAATTCCTCTGTGCCTCCATTTTACTGGGGTGGAGACTAATCAAACAGTGAAATAATAGAGTCTGGACTAAAAATTCATAAAACTTTCTTTTTGTACTTTAATTTTGTAGAATAACAATATGTTCTTGATCATTGTAACCTGACATTGAAGTGAGGACTAAGACTAATTCTCTCTTGTGAAGTAAGGTGTGTAATGGAAATGTACTTATATAGATGCGACCATCATTTTCTGATTGATGGTAATGGCTTGATTGAAGGCAAACTATTGTAGAGACAAACAAATTAATGTTAACAACATGATTTTAAAGAAATAAGGAGAAACAGTATGTACTGACTATTTGGTAACCATACCCATTGCTTAAGTGAGTTTCTTCAAAGTCTATACAAATGATTAGACAAATACAAATAGGAATATTTTTACTTTCTTCAAACTTCTCTTTAAAATATATTTTTATTGATTTTTTAAGAGAGAGATGGAGAGTTGGAAACATCGGTGAGAGAGAATCATCGATCAGCTGCCTCTTGCACACCCCCTACTGAGGATGTGCCCGCAACCAAGGTACATGCCCTTGACCGGAATCGAACCTGGGACCTTTTAGTCTGCAGGCCAATGCTCTATCCACTGAGCCAAACCGGTTTTGGCTCTTCAAACTTTTTTATTTTACAGAATTTCCAATGTAGATATAGCTGGAGCGGCTAGTATAACAAACCCCTATCACACAGCCCCAACAATTTTGTTTATCTATATCCTCTCTCACTCCAGATGGTTTTGAAGCAATTACCAGATACTTTTGTTTGAAAATGCGGGGTGGGCAAAAGTGGGTTTATAGTTGTGAGTACACGAAACAGTTTATTCTTTTATTATTTATTAATTATTGTATTATTTTCCATACAGACAACTGTAAGTCTATTTTGCCTACTCCTGTATTTCAGGATGTATATCTAAAGATAAAGATTCTTTTAAAAATATAACCACAGCCCTACCTGGTTTGGCTCAGTGGATAGAGTGTCAGCCTGTGCACTGAAAGGATTCTGGTCAAGGGCACATTCCGGGTTGCGGGCTCAATCACATGTAAGAGCATGCAGCAGGTAGCCAATCAATGATTTTCTTTAATCATTGATGTTTCTATCTATCTCTCCCTCTCCCTTCCTCTTTGAAATCCACTACAAATATATAAAGGAGTTCTCTTTAAGAAAAGAATAAAAATATAACCACAATTCATTGGCACACGTTAAAATAGAAGAACATGATTTCCCTGAACAATGCCTTTTTAAAAATATTTTTTAAAAATCAATAAAAATATTTTTTATTGATTTCAAAGAGGAAAGGAGAGGGAGAGATAGGAACATCAATGATGAGAGAGAATAATTGATTGGCTGCCTGCTGTAAGCCCCACACTGGGGATCAAGACTTCAACCTGGGTGGTGATCTCCTGGTTCATAGGTTGATGTTCAACCACTGAGCCACAATGGCCAGGCAGCTCTACCCATTTTTATATTGGGTTACTTGTCTTTATTTTGCAAAGATCTAGATACATTCGGTGTGCTACTGTTATGTCTCTGAGATATCAATGCTGTGTGTAACTCTTGAGAGTTCTGAGGAAATTGAGAGAATGAGGAGAGAAGTGCGAGATCTGAAGCTGAAAGATTTCTTATAACAACAAATCTGAATTCATGTTTTGATGTTTGACTGCTGACAAATTTTAAGCCTCCGCTCTCCCTCATGTGACTCCCCAGCAAGGTATGAAAATAGCTGCAGAGAACAAGGAAAGGAAGCTGGCTTGGAGTTTCTATGGTGGCTGGGGGTGGAGCTGCGCTGGAAGGCTCCAAGTCATGGTTTGAACTTTTGTCAGTACCAAAGGAGGGAGCACTGGGGCTTTCTCATTAGCTTCCCCTTTTGGCAGGGAGCAACCATAGCACAACTGAACTTGTTAGCAGTTGGCGCCTCTATGAGCTCCACCTCACCTTTCTGGGATACCATGCTACAACAGTCTCTACTTTTTGAAGCCCAATCATTTTGGGTTTGGGCCTAGTGTGATTTGAAGAAAGGACATCAAGGGGGAAAAAGAAGAATAACATGAGGGAACATTGTCTATAGCTGGTAAATAGGCTTTCAAGACATTTCTGAGAAATGCTTGACAAGGTTGTTGCATTGATGGCTAACAACCATATGTCAGTATTATTTTCAGGCTACTTTTGGGGAGAAGGCTTATTGGTTTATAGGGCCCTTTGCCTTTGATCCTTAATAAGCTATTAAAGGAAAATAAGTCTGTTTTAGAGTCCATTATAATTAACTAGAGGCCTGGTACACGAATTCATGCATGGTGGGGTCCTGCTGGCCCATCCCAATGGGTGCTGATCAGGCCAAACTGACTGGGGGAGGGAACGTGAGGGGGGGGGAGCGGCCAGCTGTCCCCACCCATGATCGGTAGGGGAGCCAGTCAGGCTGGCCAGAGGGAGGGGCCACTGCCCTGGGAGGTTGGCCAGCCGCAGTGCGCATTATAGTGACCAGTTGTTCCAGTCATTCCAGTTCTGGCATTCCAATTGCTTGGCTTTATACATAATATATATATATATATATATATATATATATATATATATATATATATATATATATATATAGTTTTAAGGCCAATTAGGAGACTTGTCATTGCCATGGAATGACTTTTGACTTTATCTGCTTAACATAGAGCTTGGGGCTTTTATTTGACTATTTTTTGTGTGTGTTAGAATTGAGGCTTTTGAGCTGCAAAGTTTTTTTTGAGAGTTGGAAGCATAAAAATTTCAATCTCAATAATGGTTGGGTCCAATATTTTAAGTGTAGTTGGGACTTTAGTGCAGATTTGTTAACATGTAAAATGGAATGAGTACCTGATTTAAATTGATATTGGAAATTTACAATGATTAAAGAAAGTAGTAGGAGGTTCTCAGATATGTTTCTTAAAGAGCCACCAAAGAGCTTAAATCTTACCAAAACTCTTTCCCAATAGGCCTGTCTTATGTCTTTGTGATAAGATTAATGGTGTTATTAAATTTTTTTTCTATTTTCTACCATGATTGTGTATTGATTTTTATTAAAAGTGCTTGACAGATTTTTACTTTAATAATTTTGAAGTTTGTCTTTTGAATTTTTAGTAAAATTTTGCACATTTTCAGTAAAAGTGAAGCAGGAATTAAATCATACAATTTACATGTTATAATAAGTGTTATGTCATTGCTTCTTTGCCCTATTCTAATTTATATATTTTTTAAAAAGCTGTTCACATATTGTTTTTAGACACATGATTTGTATTTGCTTTAATGAATAAATGTGCTTGTGGTTATATGGTAGAGATTGTTGAAAGAAAAAATGGTGATTCATTGACATTAAATATAAAAGCTGCTCTAGATATTAATTAATAATTTATTTAAACAATGGCTGTTGACAGGTTCAGTGGCCAAGAACTTCTTCACCAAATCAAAGCTTTCCATTCCAGAACTCTCCTATATATGGTAAGTACAATTAATACCATATGGTATGATATAGTCATCCATATTCATTCTTTAGTACCTACTGTTGCATTTTAAAAGCCTTATTTCTTGAATTTTTTAACAGACTAAGAGAGTGAATAGAATTTAAATTTTTGTTGCTGTGAAAATTAAATAAGTTCTATGAAAATCACAATGAACAGTATCTGGCACATACTGCATATTGTATGTATTAGCTATTATTTAAAAAGTAATTTCCTAGTTATCCTCATCTAGATCCCTTTTCAGTCTAAGCGATTGTGTGGGCATATGAGAATTTCCATCTTGTGTATTTTATTTTCAGACTTTTCTGTTTGGTGTGATGCAAGTAACCAGAGGACCTTGAAAAGCATTCTTTTATAATATTTTATGAAGCCAGGTGAAATGTCTTGGAATGAAGTTAAATTTGACTATTCTGCCTGTAAATTTAGCTGGACCCTAGTTCAGAACTGCAGCTGTGGAGTGTATTGTACCTTACTGTTTAGCTGGCCACAGCCCTGACTCCAAAGGACTGTGCTGGGACAGTCCAGATGGCTCCATTTGCATTTATGAAAACGCTCGGTGCCTCCATAAACTCGCAGCTGCGTGTGGGCTGTTCTTCCTCATGACTGGGCAGGAGCCTGTGCTGCTATAAATATATAATTAAAACATTGGCATATTTATGTAAAACTTTTTTCCATGAGATTCACAGAAACGATGACATCATTTTGTCATGTTTTGTGCATTTTATTGGAAAGTTACTGCAGTGATCCTTGTGCATGCCGATGTACCTAGGATCCTGAGCTAGAGTTATTCGCCAGCAATATATTCTAGCATACTTTTTTTTTTTTTAATAACAAGCCTTATGTTAGATTTTAAAGTGAGAGGAAAAAAGAAATTATCGTTTTTTAGAAGAATACAATCTGTTTTGGCCGAATTCCCAGTCTTACCATAATTGGCATGAGGCTTCCTATCTTTTTGTGGGGACATATACATAAAAGCTGAATGATATTCTCTCCATTCAGCATTGGCAGCAGTCCCCTCGGCCTGCTATTTCAGGGCTGGTACATATTAAATATTTGGAGGAGGAGGATGTGAATGGAGCTTACCTTCAATATTCTTTCTTTCAAATAGTAACACATTTCTAGTACACTGTTATGTCTTTTAAAAATATATATTTTATTGATATTTTTTACAGAGAGGAAGGGAGAAGGATAGAGAGTTAAAAACATCCATGAGAGAGAAACATCAATCAGCTGCCTCTTGCACACCCCCAACTGAGGATGTGCTCGCAACCAGGGTACATGCCCTTGACCTGAATTGAACCTGGGACCTTTCAGTCCGCAGGCCGATGCTCTATCCACTGAGCCAAACCGATTTCGGCCTGTTATGTCTTATGTCTTTACTTGTTCTAACAAGTATACTTGCCTCTGTACACTTAAGAGACAGGTTGAGCTTAGAAGGTCTTAGTTACTTTGGCAAATAGGTTTCTTTTGTGCTGAGTAAATAGGCCTGTGCCTTTCAGAGGGAAACAATGACTGAAGCAAAGATAAGCTTTTTCAAGACTCTCCCTTTCTTCTTTTCTGTCTTTTCTGGTTCCAGCCTTCCCTAGTTGCTAGTTTTATCTGAAAACATAATTCAACCAGTATTTCTTGAGCTTACTTACATGTTCCCAGGAGAGGATTCTCAAGCAAAATTTTGATATAACATTTGTGTGCCTTGAAAAGTTCAAGGTTTTTCCTTACAGCTGAAAAAAAAAAAAAAATGAAGCGCTCATTCCTGAGCTCCAGTAACTGTTTAATGGCTGGGATAACTGTCAAAGGGCCAGGGCCAGCTGTTTTGAGCACCAAGTCAGGAGCTCTTTGTATTGCACGCTTACTGAACGGCTGTCAGCTGTGGAATTCTGGGCAGCATTTAACTTTTTGTGCCATGTATGCTTGTCTTGTATACTGAGAGTTGTAAAACAGACCTATCAGAGACCTGAAGAACTTAAATTTTTCTTTATAAAGTATTATTGATACCAATGCTGTCTGTCATACTTTTTCTTCCTCCAAATGGCCCCCCGAGATTTCATATGGGTTTGGGGACTCTGCATTGTCAAAGAAGCAGCCAGGAACCCCTGGGAATTGTGTTTGCATGCCGGGGGCTGAGTAAAATTTCCTCTAAGCCCAGGGTGAAGGACTCATGACATCTTTTCTATTTAGGGAGCTGAGTGATGCTGACTGCGATGGAGCCCTGACCCTGCCCGAGTTCTGTGCTGCATTTCATCTCATTGTGGCCAGGAAGAACGGCTATCCACTGCCCGAGGGCCTCCCTCCAACTCTGCAGCCAGAGTACCTGCAAGCAGGTAAGGCCTCCTCAAAAATCCTAAACTTACACATTTTCCATCCAGGCCTTACAAGGAACTTTCATTTCTTAGATGGTGTCCAGATAAGTTGGAGAGTCCTTGGAATCTACAGTTATTGTCCTTTAACTGATATTAAGCTTTTGCATCTTATAATATGAGTAATAGGGATGATCTGGGTGTGAGCCATCTGCTACTTTCATTCTACTGGTAGTACTCTCCGGATGGATTTGAACCAAAGTCACTTGCCCTTTCATGAGAATTATGGCATATCGCCCATATAAAATGAAGAGGAAGATCTTCCTATACAGCCAGGTGCTGACTTGGCGTCTTTAGGCACATCCCAGTGTCCCCAAGTGGCTTTGGGCAAGGAACTGAAATAGAACACTTATACATAATGAAAAAGTTAAAAAAATTACATAAGCAGTGAAATCTGCAAAGTGTTGTAATCATAAATATATAATTGATGAGTTTTTACATATGTATGCATCCATGTAACTACAATCAGATAATGATTTAGAACATTCCAGCACACCAAAAGGTTGGAATAAAACTGTCTTTCCCATTAATAAAACAGTTACTCCACAAACCCTTTGGATAGGAAATATATCTAACATTTATATCAATTCCTTCAGAAGACTGGACAAATCAGCAGTTTCTCTTGCTCCTTTAAGAGGCAGTGGGCAGTGATCTGATTTCTGTTACTCAGAGAAGTATAGCTTCCATCGAAAGAGTCCAGAAACATCTGGTGCTTTCAACAAACTTTCTCACTTTTTAGGCAGACAAGGTCTTTTCAGAACATGAGAGTTAGTCATGGATGATTATTGATAAGATGGAGTAGTGTCAAAAGAAAACATGATTAGTCATTAGTAGAGTATAAGTTTTATAGTTAGATCTGGAAAAGGCCTTAGATGACCTTATCTTGTCCCCTCCTCAAATGACACCATAAGTGGTCAGTGACTTATCTGAATTAATCTTGGGGTCTCTGACTCTGAAATAAAAAGTCTGTCATTTTCTGTATTAGATAGTGGGAGAGTGGAGGGGGTTGAGCTGACACTTGAAGGGAAGAGACCATGTATATGGCTGATGCCAGTGACAGGTAAACATCTTAGGAAAGAGTGACCCATTCTGGGATCTTCTCCAAATGCTCCCATAAAATATATGAAGGGTAGGCTTCAGAGAGCAGAAGTTAGAGTTCCATTTCAGAGCTCTGGCTTTGCCATAGCAGCTGCTTTCTGACTACAGCTGGCTGTAACTCCAGCTTGCTACCTTTCCTTGTCAGTTGGGGAAGACTCTCAGTGGTCTCCAGGAACTAGTTTGAAATTGGGCAGCATGACAATTTGCTCTATTTCTTCTTTGGTGTCTCTCTCCATCCCTGTTACCCTCTACCCCCCTCTTCTCTCTTCCCTCTCTACCTCTTCCTCATTTCCCCCTTCCCTCTCTCCCCATACCTCTTTCTTGGATTGAGGCAAAGAAGCACCAGTATTTCTCGGGCTATCTTGGCAACTGTAACAGCTCAAGTGCCCATCAATAGATGAGTGGATAAAAAAGTGGTGGTACATTTACACCTTGGAATATTATGCAACAGTAAAAAAGAAGGATCTCTCACCCTTTGAGGTCGCATGGAGGGACCTGGAGAGTATTATGATAAGTGAACTAAGCCAGTTAGAGAAAGAGAAGTATCACATGATCTCATTCATATGTGGACTCTAATGAACAAAATAAACTGATGAATAAAATGGATGCAGAAACATAGAAGCATCAAACAGACTGTTGAATCTTAGAGGGAAGGTGGGAAAGGGTAGGTGGGCTGGAAGAGATCAACCAAAGAACTTGTATGCATATATGCATCACCCCACGGACACAGATAATAGGGTGGTGAACATTTGGGTCAGAGGCTGGGGTTGGTTTAGAAGAGATCAATAGCAGGAAAAGGGGGACATATGTAATACTTTCAACAATAAAGGTAAAAAAAAAAAAAAAGAGCACCAGGCGAGAGATATGTCACTTTATTTGGAATGATGCCCCTTGGTTCTTCCTGGTCTTCTGTGAAGGTTGTCAGCATGCATTTATACAGAAACAACTGAGGAATCCATCACATACCCTTCAATTAAACAAAAATCGCACACCATTTCCAAAGCTTTGGGATCAATCTTAAATAATATTTGTATAGTTCGAATAAAAAAACCACAAGAGACCTCATAATCCCCATCAAACTCAGTGATAGTATATTTTAGGAAATCCCTGAGGGTTTAACTGTTAACTTAATGTTTTATCACCCATGGACAAACTGTTAAAAATCGGGACTGTCTCACCAAAAGCGGGACATCTGGTCACCTTAATATAGCTCAAGAAAATGGCCAGAACTTTCTAGATCTCTGTGCTTTTAGACTTTGAAATATGAGTGGTCCTATTGATTTTGGGAGTTCATTTTTATGCTATTCCTTTGGCTTCTTAAAAAACTCAGCTCATGTTCCAATAGTCTTCTAATTGATCTATAATCACTCTTTTAAAAAAATCAAATCTTTGATAAGATTAGCGAAAAGTGTGAATTTTGTTGATACCATCATGCATTCACAACTATATAAGCTTCTTTTCAATAAAATAATGAAACAGGAATTGTATCTGATTTCCCTTCTAACAGTGACAATTAAAAGGCTGAATTGGAAGGAAATGTTGGATTATTTGGTGGCTTACACGTGGGCCTTTTGATTTTTTTTTTTATGTCTGGGTGATGGGGTAGAATCTGGTATAGATTTTTACTGTAGTTTATTAAAAATATTTCAGTACTTACTATGAGAGGCACTGTTTTATTCTCTCTGGTCATAATTCTGTATAAAAAAGAATTCCTGCCACCATGGAACTTGCTGGCAGTTAGAGGATTGATGTTAAATAAACTCACGTATGTGTAATTGGAGCCAGTGGTAGGCGCTACAAAGGGGAAGTACAGCTGCAGTAAGAGGGTGCATGACCTTAGGGAAGACTTTCTTAAATGTCTGAGCTGAGACAGGAAGGATGAGCTAAGGAAGGGCTGTATAGGTGAAGAAGGTGAGTATGTTGCAGAAGCTCTGAGAGGGACTTGGAGCAGTGCAGGCCACAGTGGCTGGAGGGCAAAGAGCCAGGGTGAGGGGGGATGGAGCTGAGGCTGAAGAAGAAGGTGGGGAACAAATCTTGGGAAATGATGTGTTTTTTTTAAAAATATATATATATTTTATTGATTTCTTACTGAGAGGAAGAGAGAGGGATAGAGAATTAGAAACATCGATGAGAGAGAATCATCGACCAGCTGCCTCTTGCACACCCCCTACTGTGGATGTGTCCGCAACGAACGTACATGCCCTTGACCGGAATCGAACCTGGGACCTTTCAGTCGCAGGCCGATGCTCTATCCACTGAGCCAAACTGGTTTCGGCGGGAAATGATGTTGACGTGTTTCAAGCAGGAACTGAAACGACACAATCAGATTTGTTATTTGAAAGAATCCTGCTGGTTTTGGACCACAGAGCAGGTTTTGAGGAGTAAGGGTGGAAACAAGACCAGTTATGGCAGTAGTCTAGTCAGGAGCTGTGGGGAGGTTGACACTGGGGATATGACAATGGGATGCAGAGATGAGGACATGCTGGAGGGAGATTTAGCAGTTAATTGATGGCATTTGTAGTTTTTCAAAGTGTTAGCTTTTTACCCAGCAGGGGGCCTCATGATAAGGTATTAGTCATGCAATTCTAGTGAGTTCACTGATAAACTAGAAAGAGAAATCTTATCTTGGATTTCTGCTCTTGGGGCTGGATTGAGAAATAGTACTTGGGAAAGTGTTTTGCTGTTTTTTACCAAGGAAAGAGTGAGACCACCTGGTATAGTCAGACCCTGGTTTGCCCGCCCTGATATCAGTGAAATTCAGACCAGAATAAGCAAATGAACAACTTAATCTACTTGTACTCAACTGTCCAAGTTGTTACTCACTGGCCAGTACTTCACTGCATAAGGAAGTTGGTATTTCAAACCCTGGTGGGGATGGAAGGGTGAGAAAGGATGAGGAACAATACCAATTCATTTTATTTATTTACTTTTAAAAATATATTTTATTGATTTCTTACAGAGAGGAAGAGAGAGGGATAGAGAATTAGAAACGTCGATGAGAGAGGAACATTGACCAGCTGCCTCTTGCACACCCCCTACCGGGGATGTGCCCACAACCAACGTACATGCCCCTGACGGGAATCGAACCTGGGACCTTTCAGTCTGCAGACCGACGCTCTACCACTGAGCCAAACCGGTTTCAGCTATGCCAATTCATTTTAAGCACTTGATTAAAAACATTTTTTAAAACATGATGGAGGCTTCCCCATACCAACAAGCAATTCTTGTGTCTGAGAACTCAACTCAGTTCTGACACTTTCTAACTAGAGATAGAATCAGATTCCACATGTACTGAGCTCCACGAGACTACTCCTCTTCACATCCCAGTAATAAGTCTTGGTTGTTACTGTGCCTCTGACCAACTGGCTAGAAATTACAGGCTTCTACAACCCACTCCTCAGGCTTAATTAATTTGCTAAAATGGCTCACAGAGCTTAGGAAAACCTGTTTACTCACTAGATTACTAATTTATTATGAAGGATATTAAAAGAATAGCCTGATGAGATGATGAAAGGATATAAAGGGTGAGGTCCTAGACAAAGGAGCTTTTGTCCTCATGGAGGTTGGGTCCCAACACAGTGGCACATGGAATTGTTCTGATTTCCTAACATGAAAGCTTTCTGGAAGAAAAAAAAAAAAAGTTTTTTTTTTTTTTTTTTTTTTTTTTTTTAGTTTTTTAATGAAGACTTTATTACATAATCATGATTCACTAAGTCATTGGTCATTTGTGATTGATTCAATGTCAAGCCTCTCTCCTTCATGGGAAATAAGAGGCTGAGGCTAGTCCAGTCCTCTAAGCACATTGCAACCTGTTACATTCTTTGATGGGTTTCATCATCTCATTAATATAAAAGAGACACCATTGTGCTCTCATTGGAAATTCCTAGGGGTTTAGAAACTCTGTGCCAGAAATGGGGAGTAGGACCCAATATATATTTCTTATTATAAATCATTATATCACACATGGCATTAAAATTTTGATTTCTTAATAGCTGGTCTTAACAAATTTGATTTGTAGCTTCTGTTTATTGTCTACTCCAATCTGCTTTTCCTCTTTGGAATATTGACAAATTTTCTAGTTGTTGAGACACATCATCTTTAATTACTTTCTGACACAGTGATGAAACAAGCCACTTCTAAGAAATAGCATGAGTGTTACATAAGTATTAGCTTACCTAGTGACATGATTTTTGTTCATGCTGATCTAGTCAGCATCAAACTAATAGCCCTCGTCACTGTTCTGTATTAGAAATTCATAACATGATTCTTATTTCCTCTATTGTAAATCAGCAAGAACCTGTGCTTTTACTTTTGTTACTCTTACCCAAAAGAAAGGAGTATTTCGTAAAATTTTCTTGGGCACATACCATCATAAGATTCTGTTTCCAATAAGAATAGCTAAACTATAGTGCTTCCTTTATTGTTTATAGTATTTTTAAAAATATATTTTATTGATTTTCCACAGAGAGGAAGGGAGAGGGATAGAGAGCTAGAAACGTCGATGAGAGAGAAACATCGACCAGCTGCCTCCTGCACACCCCCTACTGGGGATGTGCCCGCAACCAATGTACATGCCCTTGACCGGAATCGAACCTGGGACCTTTCAGTCCACAGGCCGATGCTCTATCCACTGAGCCAAACTGGTTTCAGCTATTGTTTATAGTATTAAAACTATTACCATAGTTACTACTATTTAAAAATTATGCTAGTAGTATATAGTTAAAATTTAAGTATTGTGATAGCAATGGTTATATAGAAAACAACTATTTTTACAATATGAAATGCTAAAGACTATTTAGCGGGACTGCTGGCAATTTAAGTCCCTGTTCAACCATTTACCAACTATATGACTATAAGTTGTTTAACTTCCTGGTTCCTCAGTTTCATCATGTGTAAACGGAGATGACAGAAGTTCCAGGGGAGATCTATCTATCATCTATCTATTGTATCTATCTATCTATCTATCTATCTATCTATCTGTCTGTCTGTCTGTCTGTCTGTCTGTCTGTCTATCTATCTATCTATCGTCTACATCTCAGCATGATGAGTGCCATAACTATTGAATAGTTGATAGGAGCCAGCTGATTTTGTTGTTAAATAGGAAACAGTGCGTGCTATGACTATACGTATTCTTTTTGTTTCTTCTTAGCCTTTCCTAAACCCAAGAGGGAGTGTGCATTATTTGATTCTTATTCTGAGTCCATGCCAGCAAACCAACAACCTCATGACTTGAATCGGATGGAGGTAAAAGATCTTCATATGTAAATTAGTTAAGGATGTATTTAGAATTAAACCCATTAGCCTATGTACTTCACAAATTCTGGAAAATCTACTTTTATAAAATTTTCTCTTCATAGTTAGTTCTTACTTTGGGGCTTATCCTTTCAAATTTTGACCCCAGACACATCTATAATTATCTTTTTTACTTTCTCCCTAAAACTAGATTTGATGAAATAAACAAAATGGTCTCTTGACTTTATAGAGGTGAAATTGAGGTATAGCCAAACTAAACCTGAAAAATGCTAGCCAAGTTACTTACTTTAACCAAGCTTTAATTTCAAAGTAAAAATTGTAAAGTTGTATTTTTAGTAGCTGATTATTAACAAAATATAATGAACCAGAACAGTTTTGAGAGGAGGTTTGAAAAGTATATATGAGGGCCCCAAACCACATTCAAAGCTGCCTTCTCCCTCAGGGTGTTTAGCTTTTGGATCAGATGAAGATTGATTTGGATGATCCCCAAGAGAAACCTGAATTTCCACCATGGTGGGCCACTGATGTAGGTTCTTAGCCACATGCTTAGTATTCCTTCACTATGCATTGATAAATAGTTGTTATAGTTATTGTTAATTTCAGCACTATCATCCTCATCCTCATCATGGTTGCAATGATAACAACTTATGATACCTACTTTTCCTGTCCTAAAAATCTAGAAATGTTTAATAAATGGAGGTGCTTTTGAAGACATTCAGCCGTTTAAACTTCTTTTTCTGTATATTGAATATGATGGAGAAACATATAACAAACATATAACCACTTTTTAAAATTTATTATTTTATTTTAAAAAATATTTTTATTGATTTCAGAGAGGAAGGGAGAGGGAGAGATAGAAACATCAATGATGAGAGAGAATCACTAATCGGCTGCCCTCCATGCATGTCCCCCACTGGGGATTGAGCCCACAACACAGGCATGTGCCCCTGACCGGAATCAAGCCCAGGACCCCCAGTCCACAGGCTGTTGCTCTATCCACGAGCCACACCAGCCAAGGCCATATAACCACTTTTGATGATCCTCAGTTTACTCTGGGGATGCTGGCAGTGTCTGGAGAGGCTTGTCTGTCAGGCCAGGACATACAAATTCCATAGCTCTCTTATGTAGTTGCTCTGTTTTTTTTGTTTGTTTGTTTCTGCTGAGTCCCCCTACTTGTGTAAAATTATGAGATTGTTAGGTAATTTACTATAAAGTGTCATAAATTATTATTCTTGCTGGATAAATGTTTTGTTCCAGCTTGCCATGGTATCAAATGGTCTTTGCCCTTTCAACAGAGACAAATAATGTGGGTTTTTTTGGAGAAATTATTTAGTGACTTATACACACATGGACCTTATGTGCAGCTAAGTTTTATATACTTTTATAACCTTTAACTGGTTCCTTTGAGGGGGTAGGTTAAAAGCTACCTAGTCTTTGCTTTGTCCTATCCAAACAAGAAAGCAAAAGAACAACAAAAAACTCCCAACAAAACTGTTATTTTTAAGGATGTGGTGCTTTTAGATACTGATGTAATAAACAAAATTCAGGGGTTAATTGATGGTTTGGTCATTTGAGCAGTATAGGTCAGAATTTAATAGCTAATGATTAAATATTTCATGGTCTTCTAAATTGTTTCATTCATTGTTCTTTCTCCACCCTTTTAATCTTTCGTGAATGCGTGCATGGGGTTTAAATAGATCTTGGTCATCAGCCTATGAGGGATGACTCCCTTATAGGTGCTTGTGTTAGGAATGAAGCTGTAGCTGATTCAGGTCATGTACTCAGCAGTACATCTTTTTCTAAAGACAGCAGAGCTGTAACCATGTTCCATCAAGATATATAATTTCAGGTATACCCCTCTTAGAGTTTCTTTTGTGTACACCTTTACTGAGGTATAATTTACATACCATAATCATTAAAAGTATACAATTCAGTGGTTTTCAGTATACTAAAATCTATGCAACCAACACTATTGTCTAATTTTAGAGCATTTTCATCACCCCCAAGAAAGAAAGTCTGTATTCCTTAAGTCATTCACTATTCCCCAGGCCCACAGCCTCTGATAATCACTAATCTATTTTCTGTCTCTGACTTTGCCTATTCTGGACATTTCATATAAATAGAATCATATAATATGTGGTCTTTTATGACTGGATTCTTTCACTTAGCATGATGTTATAAAGTTCATTCATGTTGTGTCAGTGCCTCATTCCTTTTTATTGCTGAATAGTATTCTGTTGTATGGATATGCCACATTTTGTTTGTCCATTCTTCAGATGTTGGACAGTTAGGTTATTGTTTCCACTTTTGAGATGTCAGAAAAAATGCTATGAACATTTATATATACGCCCCCCCCCTAATTTTTGTTTTTCTAATGTTTGCTTATGAAAAAGGTTTGTTATTTTTTAAAAAATATTGTTTTATTGATTTAAGAGAGGAAGGGAGAGAGATAGGGAGAAACATCAATGGTGAGAGAATTATTGATTGGCTGCCTCTTGCATGCCCCCTACTGGTGGGGGGATCAAGCTTGCAACCTGAGCATGTGCCCCTGGCCAGAATCGAACCTGGGACCCTTTAGTCCACAGACTGATGCTCTATCCACAGAGCCAAACTGGCTAGGGCACGGGTTTGTTCTTGACTGAAGGACAAATGCTGAAGAGTCTCTGGCTGAATCCTACACGGGATTTAGATTTTATATGTGGTCTATACCTATGCCTTAATCTGAATGTTTATTCCTCTATGCATATATCTATTTCAATACAATTAACTATCCCTCACTAGGAACCTAAAAAAATAATATTAAATGTTAAGGTTTACTGAAGGCAGAAATATTGGCAAGACATATTGCTTTTAAAACATTTTCATCATATGTGCACATCATTTAATTTCTATTCAATCTGTATAATTAATTTTCTTTCCTTTTCCAAGAAGTTATCTATTAAAGATGGGGCTGACTTTCCTGTTTCTACCCAAGATTTGACTGGTGATGACAAACAAGGTATGAAAAGAATGAGTTTTTTTTTCCTTTAGGGACATTCTGCCTATATTTTGTTTATCCACTTGTATTGGAATGGTTGGCTACTAGAGCACATGAGGACATTTATTGGTGCATGAACACATTTGGATGGATTAAGTAGTTCAAATTGTCCCCAAACTATAGTTCATAAAATGGTAACAAGAGCTTGAATGTCCAAAGTCCCCCTAGCTCATTGGCTTCTTACTCTCTGCTGACCCTCAGGCTATCCTGACTCCTTTCATTGGAATCTGGTCCTACTAATTAGGACATGACTGGAAGCTGCAATAATTGAGAGCTTAGCATCTTATTTTGGCAGATGTGATCCCAGAGCATCAATACAAATGCACATATGTACCAAGCTCTAGTCTCTGAGGAAATTATCTTCTGGAGGGAGTTTCTGTCTCTGGGCTTTATCTGTGACTGTGGGGCTGTGATAAAGCTTTGCCTATCTTTCTGGGCGGATGAGAAGGGCTACAACACAGTGATCCATGTTATAGCTATTACTGAGCACAGAGATAAGTTGGCCTGGGAATATCAAGAAGAGCAGGAGGAATCCCCCCCCCCCCCATTGACTCCATACTTCTGTATAATGCTTTATAATCTACCACATCTTTTCTCATACAATATCTACCCAGAACTCACAAAACCTAGTGGAGGGTGGTATGGTCATTGCCTAAAATTTAGAAATGAATAAACTGAAGTTCAGACTCAGTATGAATCATTTGCTTAGTAAGAAAAAGAGAGAGGCCCTCGCTGGTTTGGCTCGGATGGTTGGGTGCCGTCCTATACACTGAAAGGTTTCTGGTTAGACCTGGTCTAGGCATATACCTGGGCTGTGGACTTGATCTCCAGTAGAGGTCATGCACCAGGCAGCCCATCAGTGCTTCCCTCTCCTCTCCTCTCCCCTCTCCCCTCTCCCCTCTCCCTCTCCCCTCTCCCCTCTCCCCTCTCCCCTCTCCCCTCTCCCCTCTCCCCTCTCCCCTCTCCCCTCTCCCCTCTCCCCTCTCCCCTCTCCCCTCTCCCCTCTCCTTTCTCCCCTCTGCCCTCTCCCCTCTGCCCTCTCCCCTCTCCCCTCTCCCCTCTGCCCTCTCCCCTCTCCCCTCTCCCCTCTCCCCTCCCCCCTCTCCCCTCCCCTCCCCTCCCCTCCCCTCCCCTCCCCTCCCCTCCCCTCCCCTCCCCTCCCCTCCTCTCCTCTCCTCTCCTCTCCTCTCCTCTCCTCTCCTCTCCTCTCCTCTCCTCTCCTCTTTCTAAAAGTAAATAAACTATTAAAATAAAGAAAAAGAGAGGGGCTGAAACCAGTTTGGCTCAGTGGATAGAGTGTCAGTCTGCGGACTGAAAGGTCCCGGGTTCGATTCTGGTCAAGGGCATGTACCTGGGTTTCGGGCACATCCCCAGTAGGCGGTGTGCAGGAGGCAGCTGATGGATGATTCTCTCTCATTGATATTTCTAATTCTCTCTCCCTCTCCCTTCCTCTCTGTAAAAAATAAAATATATCAAGAGAGAGAGAGAGAGAGAGAGAGAGAGAGAGAGAGAGAGAGAGAGAGAGAGAGAGAGAGAGAAAGAGAGAGAGAGAGAGAGGATAAGAACCAAGATTTTCTCTCAGGCCAGTGCTCTAAAAATCATTGGAGCTATTTTAGGTTTTATTGTTGAGACCTGCCATTAATGCAACTTGGTATGGGAGTTAAACATGAAAAAGAAGTTTTTCCTTAGGAAACAATACTTGCATGCTTGGGAGAGGCAGGCAGAACTAGACATTGTCTATGACAGGATGTACTCTGACCACTCTCTTTATTAATTAGGGGGTCTTATCCTCGAGTCCATATTGGAATAACCAGCTGAGCTCTAAAAAAAAAAAAATGAAGCCTGGGTTTCACTTCAAGAGAGATTCTGATATCATTGTTCTGGATGTCAGAAATGAAAGGGGAAATTTCTAATATCTCCTGGTAATACTCCTCTTAGCCACTAGAGGCGCTGTCTCAGGAAAGTTGAAAATACTGCTTTGTTCTCTTGGGAGAACTTATTTTCATACTTTAAGAGTTCTTTATTGTTTTACTAAGTGCTATAGCAATTATAGAAGTTTGTGACACCGTTTTAATAAGTGATGACTAGAGATTCTTTGTTTTAATGTAATCTTCCAGAGAAATAAAGTGTTATAGTTTTTTTTTTTAATCTTTCCCCCCCTCTTCTCTCTCTGTTCTTTAAAAACAAAATGTCACTAGCTTTGAAAAGTACTATGGATGAAGCTGTACCAAAGGACACGTCTGAGGATCCAGGTAGGAGAAAACTTTCATTTTAAAATATGAATGTAATTATTTCTAATTAAAAAAGTCTCCAGTAGTTCTATTGAGTAGAAGATTGGCATATCTGTGATAGTATGTATAATTCTCTTAAAATATTTGTTTTGTGTTTTATTACAAGGACATTTTTTTTACCCTTTCCCCTTTTCAGGTATTTCTTCTTAAGTTCTGAATTTAGGTTTTACTGAAAGGATCATTCAGTTTGAATCTAGTCTCATTGTTACTAAGTGTAGAATTGAGAAAGCTTGGAGTTTAGAGGATTTCAACAAGCCATTGAAATTTCTGTGTAGAATGAGTTGATGGAATAGATCAACTGGAGGTCTGCAGTTGAAACCTTCCATTTCCAAAGTAAAAATCTCAAATATTTTTATTATACTTTACCACCAGGAAGGCAATTAAATGTTCTTACATAATGAATGGATTCCAAGGAGAAAAATAAAAATTGTGCTTGCCCAGGTTTTTGGAGAGTTGGAACTGTATCTGTGAATTGTGGAGATGGCCAGGCCTGTGTCAGCTCTCTCAATGGACCCATCATTGAACCAAGATGAACCTAGTTACAAACAAACTAGCTAGGGAAGTCATTACTATTTTGAATTCTGATTATGAGGATATGGAAGAAATTGCTGCTTTCTTTTTTTTATCTCTCTTAATATTTAATAAGTAAATCGTGTTTGTTTTGGTTAGCTAGCTATCATCCCAGGCTTATTTGTTTAAAGTTGGAACAAAGGGTCAATATAACATTGAGGCTTATGTTACAGTGTGTTATTTCCCAAACACCAAGTTCATTGAAGGTTTAAGAGAGAGAGAGAGGAATAGAGGAAGAGGGGGAGCAGGAAGGAAAAGGAGGGAGAGAGGGAGGAGGGGGGGGAGATAGAGAGGCACTAGAGAGCATGTGAATGAGAATCTACGATTGATTTCAGATATGGGGGCCTAAGGATCTTTATTTTTAGGCAGCCCCAAGGTGATTCTGATGAGTAACCTATAAGAGCTACAGGTAGAAGGCCATGTTAAGTAATAGAAAATGAAGACGAACCATGCTTCCAAAAGTGGTAGGAATTCTCAAGCTGATTTTGGCTTTTGAAATGGATTTGAATTTCTTTCTTATGGGGGAAATGCTCTATTTGTGTAGGAGAAATGTCTGAAGCAGGTTCCTTTTAACCCTAATTTGTGGAGCTAGTGGATACATCCCAATTTTTGTAAACTTCATGTTATGATATTAGTAAAAACTATTTAATGTAACGAGTTAAGTTGCTGCTTATCCAACAGGCTTTGAGGCTAATAACTCATCCCCCCTCCCCATGAGCATCGCGTGTTCTCTGGGGTGAGCTTTAGACATCATTGTTAACATTCCTTCATTGAATAGGATGTAGTGTCACTTGATAAAACCTCTCAGGGAGTGCCGTCTCGTGTGAAGTACATCCAAATTTGTTTCACAATTCTGCCTGGGAGCCTGCCATGTGATTCCTGATTAGTTTTCTCACTGCTGTCCCCTTCTGGAATCTATATGAGGGAATTGGATTCCCAGCAGGAGACATTGGATTTTCAAGGTGGTGGTTTCTAATTCTGGATGGCTGTCTGTGCCACGTGGATAGTTCATCTCAGTCGAGTTGTTGCCTTTTTTTATTTTGTTTTTGGAGAATGAAAGTTCAGGCTTGCATTCTTATCCCATATCTCTTTCCTGGAAAGATGGACATGCCTGGAGTATTCCAGGAAGTTGTCATCTTCTTCCCTTTCCTAGCTAAATGAAAAGCAATGACCCACCCATTGGTGTCTGCCTGGGCTTCAACACAACATGCCCTCACCATTTTTGCAGATATTCACATGCTTCAAATGCTGAACTTGACTTTCAGGGGCTCAGAGACTGATGGAAGACTTAAGTGGACTATTAAACTCCTATGGAGAAACCCGTGGAAACTTACCAAGGCATGCCTGGGATGTGTTGTTTTCAGGTGGAAGGAGAAACATCTTTCTGCCCTGCTCTTCCACAGTGGGTGGTGATAATAATTTATTTGTATAAAAGGCTAAGTGTCTGTCTGACCTGTAGCCATGACATGAACTGAAAAACGGGGGGCAGGAGCTACCAAGATAAACGGCAAAATAAATGGCACCATGGATCTGGCCTGACAAACCAACACTCAGCTTCCCCCAAGTGGGACACAGACCCTGCCACCACCCCAGAGCAACACCCCACCAAATCACAGCCAACGCTTCCAGGACCACATGGTGCAAAATGCGGCCCACAGCCCAGCCCAGCCCAGCCCAGCCCATGCCAGAAATGGTGGCTGTGGGCACCAGGTAATGACATCACATAGCAACGCCCGGCTTCCTCTCCCTAGGACTAGTCTCCTTGGAGTTTCATCAGCCTAGGAACACAACTTGCTTTATAGCCAGGTGCAAACATTTTACACTTTAATCAGATGTCTGTGAAGCATTTTCATGTGCCTCATCTCATTTGATCCTCACAGAAATCCTGAAGTAGGTAGATAGGAGACTCAGTAGAATTCTATTTTCTTTTCATTAGCTGGAAAACAGAGATTTAGAAAGCTTAGAAACTTGACCCGATTACAAAGAAGTAAGAAATGATGGACCTTGAAAATGACTTTAGGTTTTCTCACTGCTCAGAATATAGTCAAAACACTGCTGTAGTTAAATACTTTACCCTTTGTTCTCCCTGGGTGATCTACAATAATAATCTGCTTCGTATTGCTATTTACTGCTGAATTGCTGACAATGACCTGAAAGAGAAGTTGGGGTGCTTCACTGGGCTGGAAAAAGTTTAGCTAAATCAGAAAGATCTAATTAAGCAAGTTTATTTTCTCTATATAAAAGGCTAAGTTGGCTTGCACATGCCTGATACATATAAAGCTCTCACTGGTGCCAATCACATGCTTATATTTTGATGTCATTGTCGATTGTGAATTTGGTTGACATTTTTATTATAGAGAAAGAGCAAATAGTGATATTAAAATATTTCTTCTAATTAATTTCCTTTCAATGTGCATGAATCTGTGCACCAGTACACTAGTAATAGTGAAGATGACGATGTGGTGGGTTACAGATGGGGTATGACTTTATTATTCAGGGAATGGGAATATTCTTGTACATATTTTTTTCATATACCCTGACCCTTTTAATTGCTGAAAGTCTATATATCAATGGAATCTATCGATAATAGATTTCTTAGCTAACATTATATTCCAGCTAATTCAACAGAGCACACTGCACAATAGTGCTCTTTTTCTTTATGTCTCTAGGTCAGTGACCGGCAAACTGCGGCTCACAAGCCACATGTGGCTCTTTGGCCCCTTGAGTGTGGCTCTTCCACAAAATACCCCGTGTGTGTGCGCATGTACAGTGTGATTGAAACTTTGTGGCCCATGTGCAAAAGTCATTTTTCAGCTCTCAAAAGAAATTTCAATCATTGTACTGTTGATATTTGGCTCTGTTGACTAATGAGTTTGCTGACCACTGCTCTAGGTAATGCTGAGTAGATTAAGCCAGTTCATCCTCAAACTGGTATAGTCTTCTGACTGCCATTAGTGATTCTAGCAGCTTCTACGATGGCCAACTATCACCCCATGGTCTTATGGGGTAGATCAGTTTTCTCTTTCCATTACCACTCCCACCTTGCTGTCTTAGAAGGAGCTATATTTAGAAAGGAGATTTCTAAACTTAAAAAATTTGGAGCACTGCACAACAGTAATATTTTGCAATTCTAAAATACATTTAGTTGTTAAAGTACTTTCGATGCATTGTCTCTTCCTGTGAGGAATGTCTACATTTTTATTTTCCTCATCCTGTGGGTGATGGAATTGAGGCTCAGAGAGCTAACAGCTAGTGAGTGCTGTGGCCTCACAACTTCTGGACTGGTCTCTAGTGCTCATTTGCGCACCTCACCCCATCTGTCTATCTCTCACAAGCAGGGTTTCCCCCGTGTCCACACCTACCCCAGCAAAAAAAGATAGTGGCAATTGATGAAAGAATTAACGGTCACCACCGTCTGGTTTAGTGAACAGTATTTTCACATGACTGAGACTTCTGCCTACATATTTGTGGAAAGCAGTGGGCCTCAGGGAGAAGAGGGCCACGGAGCTGGAGCCTGCTGTGGGAAGCCTGTGCGAGGGTGGCCCCCAGCTCTGTGGTGAGTCTGCTCACACTGTCCTCCCACTCCAAGGCAGCCAACTTGGCTGGAGGTCTCAGAGGCCCTCCTTAGGCCGTTTTCCTTTGATGCCTGGGGGGAATTAGTTTTTTTGTTGATAATGGGTAAGACAGGGCTCAGACTCCTCGGCTGCCCAGGCTTTTTGGGGCTCTGGCAGTGTTTCAATGGTTTGAGTTGAAAGATGCCTGTATTTTCACTACAGCAAGCCAAAATGTGTAGATTGGGAGAAATGTACCTCTTCTGCAGCTGACCCCATGGAATGGGGATGCATAATGCTAATTTGCTTTGCATCTTGTTAGCACTTTAGCTCCCCTTCCTTCTCTGCTTATCTAACCCAAGGATTTTAATGGTCCTTGTAAATCTAGGCTGTTTCATACACAAGGAGGGTTTTATTTTTGAGTGATGTGAAAGAGGAGGAGATGATGCAGTGAGGCATTTTCTTTCTGGAAGGATTTGTGCAAACAATATATAAACTATATTTCCTTGTTCCTCGTTAGCACTTTTTCTATGAATTTTTATGCCATTTTATGATGAAAATTTTGCAGTGCTGGCAAAATGTCAACTTTAGTGGTTTCTAAAGTTGACATTCATAGAGGATTGAAAACATCAAAAGGATACTAACGTTTTTGTAAATGTTTCTAATTACTCTCAACAAGTTGGGATAGGAAAATAGGCTTTATGGATGTCAGTAGTGAGCAAGTTAGTTTATGATTGAAATTTGATAAGGAAGGGTTGTATGGTAAACAGCATATTTTAATGATTTCATGTCATAATATTCTCTGTACAATTTGGCCATAGAGACATGGGACACAAGAATATTTTCTTTTAGGGAAAGCTGCTTGGCACAGTGCAACTTTCTTGTTGGAACTTTGATTTCTTCTGGTTGTGCTGCTCTAGTAGTGTATTTTAAGAAAATCTTAACATATATAGCCCAATAAATTTCTTCCTAGCCTGCAGGGGAGACTGATTCAAAATGTATTATTAGGCTGTCATGATAGACCAAGAAATTCTCAAGTCTGAACCCTTCATTAGTACATAGATAACCCCTTCAGAAGGTTGTCTTTTTAGATTGGAATTTCTTTGTTAACCAACTTTGATTTGAGAATTGCTTCTTAGTGTTCTGAGGAAAGGAAAATATGTTTTTTTCTTTCCTCTCAATTGTGCCTTTAACTTTAGAAATAAGTTTCTGAAGTCATGGAACTGTGGAAGACGTCAAATTCTCCACGTGGACACCTGTACTTCACGTTAACCTGTTGATGTGCTCTGTACTAGCCCAAGTGTTATATATAAACCTGTTAAGAAATGAAACCCAAGCAAACAATAATCAATCTTTATTTCAGCAACTCCTAAGGATTCCAACAGTCTCAAAGCAAGACCAAGATCCAGGTAGTGTTTGTTTAATTTCTACTTGAATGCCCTCTGTGCCTGTCTCAGATTAGAAATACCAACCCCCAACCCAAAGCCCAACCCACAATCTCCTTTTTCTTTTGATTTGAAAGTTAGACTATGGGTGAGTTCTCTGTCATGAGGGGCCTGACTGGAGCATGCAGTGCCACTGGGAGACTCTTAGTTTCTGTGTCTGTTGGTGCTGGAAGACAGTAGCTGCTGCACTCTGGTCACTTGATATGAAGTGGACTGTGTGATATGCCCCAGTTGTTGCAGGATGATAACGAGTAGGGGGAAGTAGCCTTGGAAAGAAGGAAATACAACTTAAAGGTAACTGACACTGAAATTTACTGTCATGATAAGGTGAATACCAAAAAGTAAAAAGCCTGGGGTCTAATCTATAGTAGGGAAAGAACATGCTTATGGTGACTCCAATGAGGTAGGTGTAAAGCTTCAGGTAAGCAGTACGTATGGTCTGTTTCATCCTGTATTAGAGCCTCTTCTCAGCTTCACTGTTTTTCAATCACTAGAGTCTAGCAGGGGTCTTCAAACTACGGCCCGCGGGCCACATGCGGCCCGCAGAGGAGTCTGATCCGGCCCGCCAGGTTTTTTGGGCAGTGAGCGCAGCCGAGGTGTTACAGTAGGAATTAGTAGTTCATATAGTCCGGCCCTCCAGCTCTCTGAGGGACCATGATCTGGCCCCCACTTTAAAAAGTTTGAGGACCCCTGTGACTAGAGGCTAGCAAAAGAGGGAGGGAGAGCCAGGGAGGCAGAGCTGTGGCTGACATGAGGCACCAGAAAGGAAGAGCAAGGACAAAATAGAAAGACTAATAGAACCAATAGGATACCAAAGAGAGAAGATGATATTAGGAGCCCTCTTCACCAGTAGACTGCAGTGTAAGATAGGACACTACATGTGTCTTTCCCAAGTTTTCCTTTGGCTCTTAGTGACTTTTTTTTCTCATTTGGATATTAGACACATCCCTAAAAAAGTGAATTTAAACCTGATCATATTTTGAAATACGGATGTTTAAGGAAATCTTGTTTTGTTATAAACATTACCCCTTAGTTGGTGTATCTTTTATGTTTGGATTTTCCAAATGGGAGTTTTGTTTCCTTGTTTATAGAAGGAACAAATATACATATACATATACATATACATATACATATACATATACATATACATGTTCATATTTTAAAAAACAATAGATACACTAATTCATTTTGGTAGGAAAAAAAGGCATAGACATTATTTCTCTCTGTGGTTACCACATTTATTCAACCTTTTCTTTTTTTAAAGGATGAATGGATCTTTTATTTTTAAAATATATTTTTGTTGATTTCAGAGGAGAGGGGAAATGGGAGAGGGAGAGAGACTCATTGATTGGCTGCCCCTGCAGACCCTTTATTGGAGACAGAGTCTGCAATTCGGGTGTGTGTCCTGACCAGGAATTGAACCGTAACCTCCTGGTTCATAGGTCAGTGCTCAACCTCTGAGCCACACTGGCTGACAAGATGAATTGATCTTTTACATATTAGTCTCTAGGCTTTAGGATGTAGGAATAGGAACATTTATCTGCCCTTATAGTTGGAAAAACCTTTCAACTGCAGAAATCTGCTTATGTATTCTATGTTAACTGTAAATTGAACCTCACAGTTTTCACTTATGACTTTCTCTCTCTCCCAAAGTGAGTGAAATTACAAAATCTCATAGTTACATATTGGATTATTAATCTCAGTGGCTAAATTTTAATACATTATTCTTTTAGGGATTAGTCTGCTGGTCTGATTTGGATGTTTTTTTTATTTCACTACTCCTATTAGGGTCTTTACTGAGACCAAGAGAATAAAATCATCTTTACCCTCCTTTTTAGACTAAAGCTTTGTAGAAATATAAGGTAAAGAAGAAAAAATCACCACTCGAATACTACTACCCTGTTTCCCCGAAAATAAGACAGTGTCTTATATTAATTTTTTTCTCCCAAAGTTGTGGTAGATCTTATTTTCAGGGGATGTCTTATCTTTCCATGCGCTAGGTCTTATTTTCGGAGGATGTCTTATTTTTGGGGAAACATGGTATGCTAATAATATTTTATTCCCTGCCCCTTTATATTCTAATTGGTTGCAATCACAGTTTTTCAGTATCACTTATTTGATATCCAGTTAACTTTCCATAAGAAAATATACAGGTTATATATGGAAATAAAGTAGCATGAGATATGTGGTAAAGAGTAGTATGATTAAGTGTGTGTGTGTACCACACACATTTTTTTCTTTTTAGTGAAAAATGTCACTAAAGCTATATTTGACATTAGAAGTTCTTTTAATTTCTAGCTAGGGCCTCTAATTTCTTTTTTATTTTTAAAAATATTTTTATTGATTTCAGAGAGGCAGGGAGAGGGAGAGATAGAAACATCAATGATGAGAGAGAATTATTGATTGGCTGCCTTCTGCCTGCCTCCTACTGGGGATTGAGCCTGAAACCTGGGCATGTGTTTTTGAACCTGGGATCCTTTAGTCCACAGGCCGACACTATCCACTGAGCCAAACCGGCCAGGGCTCTAATTTCCTTTTTAAATCAAGAGTTTCCATTTGAAAACTTTGTCGTCCTTTCAGATAAATTCCCTTTTATTCTGGTTGAAAGTATTAGAACATTCTTCCTGATACTTTCTGTATGCCTTTGCCTTGCCTGCCTTGCCAGTTGTGTGATAGGGACCAACCACCCCACAGCAGGTCACATGCCATTAAGGTGGCTTTATTAAAGATCAAAACATTGTATGGCAACCGAAACCTTAAGGAACTCATTCAGGAAAACAAAAACTTGCTATGTGAAAACCAGCTTTATGAAGAACTGAAGTTACCTAATAAAAATGGATAGATTCTAATTTCATAAGTGGCACTCTAATAGCTAAACACCAAGAACAGTTTTCTGAGGTTAATTTGTCTCTAGGACATATTGTTGACTTAAAGGTCATTTTTTTTTTCTTTTTTAAAATTTCTTTATTGATTAAGGTATCACATATTTGTCCTCATTCCCCCTTTCCCATCCCAAACCCCTCCCCACTCATGCCCCCACCCCCCTGTTGTCCGTGACCACTGGTTAGGCTTATATGCATGCACACAAGTCCTTTGGTTGATCTCTCCCCCTTACCCCCACCCTTCCCTACCTTCCCTCTGAGGTTTGACAGTCTGATTGATGCTTCCCTGTCTCTGGGTCTGTTTTTGTTCATCAGTTTATGTTTTTCATTATTTCCCCTAGATGCGTGAGATCATGTGATACTAGAGATACACTTAACGTCAGCTGAGAAACTGAATAGAACTATTGTACACATTCACCTCTTAGAAAATCATATTGGGAACTCATCCACAAACCTATTCCTAAGCAATAGACTAATGTATTGAGTGGAATTACTTTAGAAAGTAAGTAATCTCTAATAGTCTAGCTGCTATCACCAAAAGATTTCTTCCCTGGCTCATAGGCAGTATCAGAACATTTTTGAAATGGAATTTGGAAACAGATAGGACTAGAGTTTAAATTGAACCTATGCAACTTTCTAGTTGTGTGAACTTTGGCAAATTATTTAGCTCATTTTCTTTTAAATGTCATTCTTGACGTTACCATCTCAGAAGTTGCCTAGGGAGTTATAGCCTTGTCACAAATTGAGGGAGGAAGGGAAGAGGAGGCTTTTGCTTTAAAAGTTTTCCCAAAACCGTAATTTTCATGGTAAGAAAAACTAGACCCCTTGACCTGATTGGCGTGTATTTTCCTTAGTTTCCCCAAATCCGAATTTTTCATGGTAAGAAAAACTAGACCCCTTGACCTGATTGGCGTGTATTTTCCTTTCCTGGATTTCACTTGTGGCATTTTCCCTTGAACATTTGAATCTTACTCTCAGCTTGTCTGTCCCTGTCATCACCTTTGCATGTAAACAGGAGAAAGGTTCTGCACTCAGTTACTAGCATGATGCCCTTCTACTAAAATAGGGAAGTACCTAAGCAGAAGGGTTTTCATGCTATTCTTATTAATAATTCCAGTAGAAACATACTTTAATTTACAGAAAGTTTTTCTTTTCAGTAAATTTTGGTTTAAGACATAATAGGAGCAAAGAGGTTTAAAGATTCTGATTCACGATTGGGGTCTGGGCATTGTGGCAGATAGGGCATCAGGGGACAGTAGAATTCATGGTTGCTTAGGGAGCTTTTCAATCCTTTGCAGTCACTGACTTGTGGGTATTTTCCATTTCAACCCAACTTCAGAGAGTAAAGCTTTGCTGCCCCCTTTCTGACTTTCCCTTATTTTGCTGCAGATCTTACTCTAGCACCTCCATAGAAGAGGCCATGAAAAGGGGCGAGGACCCTCCCACCCCGCCACCGCGGCCACAGAAAACCCATTCCAGAGCCTCCTCCTTGGATCTGAATAAAGTCTTCCAGCCCAGTGTGCCAGGTGAAGTTCCCCTCTGCACCCCAGCCCTTCCCTTTCCTGTTAGAGTCAATGGATGGGTGTCTGCCACAGAGGCCTCCGTGAGCCCAGAGAATGAGCAGACCTGGCTGACTCCCATCCCAGGAAAGTCTACACTTACTATGAGATTCTTGGAAGGGAAAGCAGTTCTAGGCAGATAGATATCACATGTGTCTGGAGTCTTGCCCACACTTGCTCTGGACCAAGAATTATGAAATTCTGTACCAAGAGGATAAAAATGCTTCACTCAGACAGCCCACTGAGTGTGTGACTGGGGTCTTGTTATCTGCATTCTGGTAATGTGTATATAAGATTGTTGTCTGTCATTTCCTCAGTTCTTCTATGAAAGATCTGGGTGAGCGGTGCCTGGCCAGAATGCTTTGCATTTTATCCCCGGGGCGAAGATCCTGTGTCCTGTTGGTTTAATGTTGAGGGGATGGACTCTGCTTTCTAAGTCGGACTGATGGTTACGTGGTAGATGGTGGGGTCTAGGGTAAGGGCTCCTTCAGGTGGGATGCTCTTGGACTTCTTGGGCTGTGACTTTCTTGAGCCAGCTGCTGTAGAGCTGGGCTGGAGTGTGGGTAGTGTCAGAGGGGCCTGACTGCTCCCCTGGCTCCCTGTGGAGTATAAGACTGGGGGACCTATGGAACAGAAGATGAGAATCATGTCTTTGCTTTGCTGAAGGTGATAGGATACAGCGCCATCCCAAGTGTTACTTTCGGAGCAACAAGGGCCTTTCCACTGACTAATGCAGGCAAGCTATAAATACACTGATTTCCTGGACCTTTTTATACCTATGTGCATTTTAAATCAAGCCACCCTCATATGCTAATGATTTGCAGATTATTATCTTTTCTACTAAAGCAAGAAAAGACTCCTTGGCTCACACATTAGCATGACCTCTGTGTCCTGGCAGAGCTCAGCATGTTTTATTTATTCTAATAAAGTACTCTCTTCACAGTAAAGTTATAGAATGTTTTTTAATATACTAGAATCTGGAGCTCTCTCTGAAATTTGATTCTCTGCCATGAGTTCATCAGATAAAAATTTGCCTTGAATTTCCCCCCATACTTTGATCCAAATTCTGGCATAATTTCATAGTAACTAGTATCTGGGGTGGGAGTATCCATGGATGACGATGCTATAAAATTTTTACATGACTGGTGGATTATGACCTAGAAGATTTTCTGTGGATGCAAGAAGATTAAAACAGTCTGGGCAGCTGTCTCAATATGTTTTCTTTGCAAAGAGAGAGGCTAGAAACACAAGCATCTCACAGCCAGCTATTTGGAGAATGGATGTGCTATGGCTTTTATGACATTGCATCCTAGAGAGGAAGAGACAAGACTGGACTCAGAGTCTTCCTCAGCTGCTTATTAACTATATGATTTTCATCAACTGGTTTAATCTTTCTGCATCTCAGATTCCTAATCTATAAAATAGGGCCAATTTCCAGATAATTGGAGGGTTTGGGTGAGATTATGTATGTATGTATGTATGTATGTATGTATGTATCTATCTATCTATCATCTATCTATCTATCTATATCTATCTATCAAAACCTAAGCGACCATTATGACCAGAACGACAGGTCGACCAGTCACTATGATGTACACTGACCAGCAAGGGGCAGATGCTCAATGCAGGAGCTGCCCCCTGGTGGTTAGTGCACTCCCACAAACAACCTCCGCTGGTCCCTCACCCTGGCTGGCTGCAGTCCCTCTCTCCCAGCTGGCCTGATCGCTGGCCAGGCCTAAGGACCCCACCCATGCATGAATTCGTGCTCCGGGCCTCTAGTAAATATATAATCCAAATAGCAACATGTTTGGCCCATAGGCACTCATTCCTGGAGCAGAATGATGAGGGAAGGGAGTCTGGGGAGGATAAAGCCCTCTGGCTTCCTTGACATTTCCCCCAGGGTCACAGTTCTGTGATTTGTCCTCCAACTGTGTGCTGTAGTACTCCATTAACAACACACCTTTTCTTGACTTTCTTCCCTCCTGCCCCGTGTCACTTTCCCCACATCAAATAAAATACCTGTTCCTAAATCCCCATCTTAGGGGTTGCTTTTGGGAGAATCTGAATTAAGATAGCTTCTTTTAAAAATATATATTTTTATTGATTTCAGAGAGGACGGAAAAGGGAGAGAGAGATGAAACATAAATGATAAGAGAGAATCATTGATTGGCTGCCTCCTTCATGCCCCACACTGGGGAAGAAGCCCACAACCCAGGTATGTGACCTCACTGGGAATTGAACCATGACCTCCTGGTTCATAGGTCAACACTCAACCACTGAGCCATGCCGGCTGGGCTCAAGTACAGATATTTTACCTCCTTGGTTAAGTTTATTCCTAAGTATCTTAATGTTCACGTTGCAATGGTAAATGGGATTGTTTTTCTTAGTTTCTCTTTCTGAGACTTCATTATTCGTGTATAAAAATGCCATTGATTTCTGGATGTTAATTTTGTATCCTGCTACATTGCCAAATTCATTTATTGAACCTCATAATTTTTTTTAGTGGAGTCTTTATGTGCAATAGCATGTCATCTGCGAATAATGACAGTTTTATTTTCTCTTTTCCAATTTGGATGTCTTTTATCTCTTCTTATCTGGTTGCTGTGACTAGGACTTCCAGTACTATGTTGAATCAGGGTGGTGAAAGCAGACATCCCTGTCTTGTTCCCATTCTTAGGGGAAATGGTTTTAGTTTTTGCCCATTGAGTATGATGTTGGCTGTAGGTTTGTCATATGTGGACTTTGTTATGTTGAGGTCTGATCCCTCTATTCCCACTTTGCTGAGAATCTTTATCCAAAACATTTTAATGAGCAGTTTAAATTGATCACATAAAGAAGAGAGCAGTGCCGGAACCGGTTTGGCTCAGTGGTAGAGTGTCGGTCTGCGGACTGAAGGATCCCGGGTTTGATTCAGGTCAAGGGCATGTACATTGGTTGCGGGCACATGCCCGGTGGGGGGTGTGCAGGAGGCAGCTGGTCGATGTTTCTCTCCCATTGACATTTCTAGCTCTCTATCCCTCTCTCCTTCTCTCTGTAAAAAAAAAAAATCAATAAAATATATTAAAAGAAAAAAGAAGAGAGCAGTGTGAAACAGGTGATACCATTGCACTTACTTAATTTGTTTCCATGCTGATTAATTCTCAAAGGAAAGTACAAAGATCTAAGTTATGTAGAATTTTAGTGTATTGCATTTTGCTAGAAATTACTTACTAAAATCCTGATAAACTAGGAAAGCATGAAGTAGACTATAAACCTATCAAAATAGTGCACCCAGTGAGAACCATGATGCCCATGTAGCAACCCCTCAGCTACACTTGTCTTTATATGTCACCTTTGATCAACTGGGTCACATTATGTTGCTGTGCTATATCCTGAACTTCCCAATTATTCATCTTTCTATTTTATAATAGAGAGCTACATAATTTCTTTTCATGTCTATGTGATATGGATGTACCAAAATTGATGGTGCATGGATGAAAAGTTTTCTCTCACCCTGTTTCCTCATTGTCTCTTTCCTACACTTTTCTCTCATGCTCACACACTTCTCATTTGTGTGTGCTCTCCCTTCTCCTTTCTCACAGAGCCCATTCCCTCTCTCTTTCTCCTTTTCATTTTCTCTGTGCTCATTCCTGCTCCTTTTCTTTCCTGCCCCTTCCCTTTTCCTCTATTTATTTCTCTTCTCTCTTTCCTCCCCCCACCCCTCACAGTCATGAGCCTATCTTTTTTCAGGCTCCTCCACCAAACTCACATTGCCCTTTGATCATACACAAGGCAGAAATGTTTAAGGACTTTGTATCCATATCTTTGTTTCCCCATCTATTTATTTTCTTGGGCTGAATCCTACAAGTTATGACAAAGGTCATAGATGTTTCAAATATAGATATATGTTGCTAAATTGGGCTGTAGGAAACTTGGACCTATCAACTTACCCCACTGCTAATGTCTGAGTGTTTTCATACACACCCTTGCCAACTGGTTAATGATCACCTTACTTATTGTTACCAATAATAAATATTGGAGATGGGGAAGAGAGAAACATTGATGTGAGAAAGACACAGCAATTGGTTGCCTCCCTTACACTCCCCAACAAGGGCCAGGGATCAAGCCTGCAATGGAGGTACATGCCCTTGACCTACAATGGAGGTACATGCCCTTTGGTCTGCAGGCCAGCACTCCAACTACTAGCAACTGGTCAGGGTTATGCCTATCCTTAAGTTGCATCATTTGCCTTTTAATTGTTGAATTGTAAGGGTTCTTTATACATTCTGGATGCAAGTCCCTTTTCAGCTATATGACTTACAAATATTTTCTCTCATGTTGTGGATTGTCCATTCAACTTTTTTGATGGTGTTCTTTGAAGTACAAATGCTTTTATTTTATTTTATTTTTTTAAAATATGTTTTTATTATTTTAGACAGAGAGGAAGGGAGAAAGTTAGAGAGAAACGTCGTTGATGGACTGCCTCCTGCACACCTCTTATTGGGGATCAAGCCCACAGCTCTAGGCATGTGCTCTGACTGAGAATTGAACCAGTGACCTCTTGGATCATGGGTCAGTGCTCAACCGCTAAGCCATACCAGCTGGGCTTAATTTTGATGAAGTCCAGTTTATCCTTTTGGCTGCCACTTGCAGTTATTTGTCTTTGAATGGCAAACTAATGCCTTCTAGGTTTCTAAACCGGAATCCTTGCTTTCAGGCCTGATCTTATTTGTGGTAGGGTTCTATTATTAGATGTAACACTCAGAATTCATAGTGACAGAGCATCGGGTTTCCTTTGAGCTTCTCAGTATTTAATAAATAAAAGGTGTTGGCTGCAGTATAGTGTTATTTTTGTCATGAGATTTGAAGTCTAAAAGTTCATTTTGAGCATAGAGAAGTATATATGGGCTGTTGGGCCAGATGAAAATTTTCAGAGATGAAAGTACAGTCCAGGTATTTGCAAACTTGTCTGTGCCAGCATCCAGCAT